GCATGTTTCCTTTTGTATAAAGAATAATGTATGTGTGTGCATATACAGTGGAACTTCACAGTTTGAGGAAATGGAATTAAAAGGTACAAATATTGCCAGCACCGCGGCTCAATAGGCTAGTCCTCTGCCTGCGGCGCCGGGTTCTAGTCCCAGTCAGGGTGCCGGATTCTGTCCCGGTTGCCCCTCTTCTAGGCCAGCTCTCTGCTGTGGCCCGGGAGTGCAGTGGAGGATGGCCCAGGTCCTTGGGCCCTGCACCCGCATGGGAGACCAGGAGAAGTGCCTGGCTCCTGGCTTTGGATCAGTGTGGTGCGCCAGCCACAGCACGCCGGCCACAGCAGCCATTCAGGGGTGAACCAATGGAAAAGGAAGACCTTTGTCTCTGTCTCTCTCTCTCTCTCACTGTCGCTCTGTCTGGTCAAAAATATAAAAACAATACCGAATGCAATCAAATAGTAATAGCTTGATCTTGATCCAGTATGATATCTTGGTAGGGAATATTAGAACAAAAAAAAAGGTACAAATATTGAAATCCATGTGTAGCTTTTTCATAATACCGATTTTTAACTTTTTTTTTTTTTGACAGGCAGAGTGGACAGTGAGAGAGAGAGACAGAGCGAAAGGTCTTCCTTTGCCATTGGTTCGCCCTCCAATGGCCACCGCGGCTGGCGCGCTGCGGCCAGCGCACGGCGCTGATCCGATGGCAGGAGCCAGGTGCTTCTCCTGGTCTCCATTGGGGTGCAGGGCCCAAGCACTTGGGCCATCCTCCACTGCACTCCCTGGCCACAGAAGAGAGCTGGCCTGGAAGAGGGGCAACCGGGACAGAATCCGGCGCCCTGACCAGGACTAGAACCCGGTGTGCCGGCGCCGCAAGGCGGAGGATTAGCCTAGTAAGCTGCGGCGCCGGCCCCATTTTTAACATTTTTAAGCTTCTTTTAGTTATTTGAAAGGCAGAAAGAGTGATAGAAAGACAGAGTGATAGAGAGACAAACAGAGATCTTCCATCTGCTGGTTCACTCTACAGATGCCCTCACTAGCCAGGGCTGAGTCAGGACGAAGCCAGGAGTCTGGAACTCCATTCGGGTCTTCCACTTGGGTTGCAGGGACTCTCTACTTGAGCAGGAAACTGGAATTGGGAGTTGAACTGGGACTCAAACCCAGGCACTGCCATATAGGATACAGTCAGTGTTTAACCCCTGTGCCAAATGCCCACCCCTTCCATAACTTTTTGAATATTCCTTGTATGCATGAACTTCAAAAATCATTTCCACCAGAAAAAAACATATCTTAATTCCATTTTCCATGAGCTTCTTCAAGTCCCCTCATATGCACCACACTTTTTTTTAATTGGATTTATTTTATTTATTTGAAAGACAGAGTTACAGAGAGAGGTAGAGACAGAGAGAGAGGTCTTCCATCTGCTCGTTCACTCCCCAGATGGCTGCAACAGCCAGAGTTGCTCCGATCTGAAGCCAGGAGTCAGGAGCTTCTTCCTGGTCTCCCACATGGGTGCAGGGGCCCAAGGACTTGAGTCATCCTCTACTGCTTTCCCAGGCCATAGCAGAGAGCTGGATCGGAAGAGGAGCAGCCAGGACTCAAACTGGTGTCCATATGAGAAGCCAGCGCCTCAGGCCAGGGCTTTAACCCGCTGCGCCACAGTACCAGCCCACACTTGTTACAGGGAGGACCTCTGAGGGGAGGGCTCCAGCAGGTAGGGAGTGTAGACACAAATTGACCTTCATCTCTGTTTGTCCCCTTCTGGGGTGTTTGGATTACTTACAATAAGTATGTATCCTATCATAATTATCATGCTCATTTAAAACAAAAGAGTAGATTTATCCTCAGATCTGTTCGATAACACTAACCTTTTCAAAAATATGCTACACTGCATTTGGACTCCATGAGTTTAGAATGTGTCTTACCTATTCTACTACCAAGCCAGTTTTTTAAGAAGCACATTTTAAAATCTAGAGCCTGTGTAGTGTCACTATTCTAATTGTGTTTTATCAATATTTTCAGCAATGTCTTCAATGATCAGAAATCAAGAAAAGAGGATACAAAAAGTAAAAGACCAGGAAAAAATGCTACTAAAATGATGCGTTGCTTGCCTATTCTTTATGGAGGGATGATGCCTGATTAATTGTGGTGTTATTTATAATTAGTGCCCTGTGTACTTTTTTCTTTTTATGTAAAAATTAAATAAAAGATACCCTGTCCTGTAAGCTATTTTGAAATAAACTATTCTTGAATGCTCTTATAGTAAAACTTCAAATAATGCTAGATTTGGAAGTATTCAGACATTATAAGGTATTCATTTGTGTTAATTCCAGTGTATTGAAGTAACTGTGTTTTATTATACTTACTGGTCTTGAGACAATAGAGCCATTTTTTTCTGCTTTAAAAAATAAAAATCTTTGGTAGGAAAACTACTTTCCGAGGGAGGTGAAAGATGTGGGTAATGCCAAGGACAGAAGGACAAACTCCAGCATGACAGGGACTCCTCGGTGACCCTGAACTCGCTGTCTGTCCTGTCAACATCATCGAAGGCGGACTGCAAAGCTTGGGGCTCCCACTCAAACCTGTAGAAGTTTCTCTGTTTGCACATTAAGAAAGAAAAGGATTTTGTTACTCTTTGGTAAATGGATAACTTCTATATTGAATTGGTTGTCTTAATTCTCTAAAAAAAAATTTTATGTATTTGAAAGGCACAGAGCTAGAGACACAAAGATAGATGCTCCGTTTGCTGGCTCACTCTCCACGTGACATGCCTGAAGCTGGGTGCCAGGAACACAACCCAGGTCTTCCCCAAGGGTGGCAGAGTCCCACCACTTGAGCCATCACCCACTGCCTCCCAGGGTACACATTAACAGGAAGCTGGAATCAGAGGGGAGCCTGGACTGGAAGCCAGGCACTCAGTGTGAGATGCAGCCATGCTACACAATGTCTCAACTAGCAGGCTAAACACCAGGCCAGACTTCAATACAGGAGAGGGTTTTGTAAGTGAACCAAGTACAATGAGACAAGAATAGACACAAAGATGGTTCAGTGATGCCAAAACATCAGTGACAATGTAGAGAGCTGGCTGCTCCCCCTCCAAAAGTGTGTGCAGAATTGTCACTGAGAAAAGTTGCCCAACAGAATACTGTTGCCCAGTCTCTCGCCCTGGCACCTGGTGTGGCGCCCACCCAGTTCTCACCTAGAGAACGTAGAATGAGCAGTACGTGGCCCCAACCTGCTAAAAGCACTTGTGGTTTGGTTATTTCCTCCTCCAGGCTGCATGCAGAAGACAGGAGGGCCCAAGGGGCCAAGGGGAGCCTGGATTTTCACAAGGGGAGGTGCCCTCTGCTCAGGAGACCCAGTGCTGTCCCAGTTCTGGTGCTGCCGCCAGCAGGAGCCCTCACCAAGCAGGCCATCAACCCCAGTAGCCATGCTTGATCGCACAAGAAAATCTTCACGTGCTCACTCTTGTGACCGTGTTACATATCTCAGCACATCGGATTTCAAATAATGGTTTTTAAAAACATGAAACTTAGGGGGCCGGTGCTGTAGCCCACTAGGCTAATCCTCCGCCTGCAGTGCCGGCATCCCATATTGACGCTGGTTCTAGTCCCGGTTGCTCCTCTTATGGTCCAGCTCTCTGCTGTGGCCTGGGAGGGCAGTGGAAGATGGCCCAGGTGCTTGGGGCCCTGCACCTGTGTGGGAGACTGGGCAGAGGCACCTGGCTCCTGGCTTCGGGTTGGCATAGTTCCGGCCATTGCAGCCATTTGGGGAGTGGACCAGCGGAGGGAAGATCTTTCTTTCTTACTGTCTGTAACTCTACCTGTCAAATAAATTTAAAAAAATCTTCTTAAAATAAACACGAAACTTAATTGTATATTGCAATTCTGTGTGCTTTACTGAAAGATAAATGATAAAATGGCTAGGGATTAGGTTCTAAGTAGATGTTTTACATTTAATTCTACCTCATGAGGATGCTTGGGCATTCTGTGCAGTTATGGTAAATGCCTTCTCAAACCACAACTGGTGCAATATCAAGTTTATTGTGAAGTAGGTAAGCAGAATTATGAACTTAGCATAAAAGTGCTGTGAGCCCAGAACTGTCAGATGTAGTCTTTTTTATGTACTTTGTAATGCTATTTTCAGTTGTTTAGTTGTTCTTGTCAGCAGAGTATTTGAGACCAGGAATAAACACAGTTTTGCTACTAGATGGTATTAAAGGCTATTTTAACATGTAAGACTTCATTTAAGGGGTGAGCATTTGGCTGGCAGATAAGGTGCTGGCCGAGATACCTGCACCCAGTATCGGAGCGCCTGGGTTTAAAGCTTGCCTTCACTCCGAACTCCTGCTTCCTACTCATGTAGACCATGGGCGCAGTGAACATGGCTGAAGTAGCTGGGTCCCCTGATTGAGTTCCTCCCAGCTCCTGGCCTTTGGGAGCATTTGGGAAGTTAAGCGGATGGGAACACTTCCTCTACCTCCCATGCTGGCTCGCTGGCTTTCTGTCTCAAAAAATAAATAAGTAAATAAACGTGGCTCAGTCAGTCAGGCTGCTACCTGTGACCCCAGCATCCCGAATAGAGTGCCAGTTCGGGTCCTGACTGTTCTGCTTCTGATCCAGCTCCCTGCTAATGCACCTGGGAAAGCAGTAGCAAGCACACAGGAGACTGGGGTGGAGTTCTTGGCTCCTGATTTCAGCCCATACCAGACCTGGCCATTTGGGGAATGAACAGCAGATGGAAGACCTTTCTCTTCTCCCAGGCCTCCACTATGCCTTTCAAGTGCAAGTATACTGAATTTCCTTCCAAGCAAAAGTAACATTTTAAGAGAAATAGAGAAATACTCTAAACTTCTTCTCCAAAGGTAGGAGAAAACTGCATCCCTCATGTCTTCTGTACATTATGGTGTTTGCTTTTTTCTGTGTCTGTTGTTAATGGAGGAAAATATTATTTTACATCCAGGCTATTGTGTTACTAAGATTTAGACAGATAATTGAGACACTTAATAAAGATATTAAAGCTCAGGTTTTCTTATTTATTCACTTACAACCAGTTAAATATATTTATTTCCTCTCAAGGCAGGGTTGTCCTTTACCACCGTCCTGTATAAATGCATTACCCAAGATAGGTACTGGTGTGAAAGGAGAGGGAAGGGGTGACTGGCAAAACAGTTGCTGCAGGGCCGCCACCTGCTGAGGCCTGGTGGGAGAGCAGAGGCATGGCAGACAGGTGGTCCTGGAAGGTCTCCTGCAGTGAGCTGTACCCATACCCCCCAGTCTGCTGAGGGGGGTCATTCAGGCCCCCTCCCCATTCAGCCCATACCCTAACCCAGTCATGTTCCCTTCCCCATGGGCTGCTCCCGTGACTGACAGCCAGGATGACCTGCTGAGGCCCCTTGTTTGCACAGCAGCCGTAGACCACCAAGACAGAGACACTCGCTGCCTTTAGAACCGCACCTGGCAGAACCCCACGGAAATCTCACAGCATCATCTCACCTCCTCGCTAACCACATCTCCTGACCAGATGGTTTCTGATCATCCTTCCACAGGTGCTCACTAATTTTATACATAAAATGTGCTGTAGTGAAGAGCATTTCTTCAGTTGTATGGAGAGGAAATCGGCTATTTTTTAATGTAATGGATTTTACTTCTTTGGTCGGAGAAATCACTTAAGGCTGCAGTCTGAACTCTTGACCACTGGTCAGATTTTGTGCTCCGTGACCACAGTCCACACTTGAAGCTTAGCCAGGTCACCCCCCACCCCAGAGAGGATCAAGGCCTAAAGAAATGACAGATCAGCACAAATCCATCAGTCCTGTGGGGACAGGGGGGAGTCCATCTTGCCTGGAAGCATCATCTGCATATACATACAATTTCTACACTAGCAAGTCTGAAACAACTCCAATGGCTAAGTCTGGAGTCATGCAGCTTTTATTATCTTAAATTATTCAGTGTGCCCCACAGTCTCAGCCTTCGCCACCTTGTGCCACTGCATCTCATACTCTGCAAACTCACTCAGTGAACTCCCCACCACCCATGAACCACTTGATCCTCACGGCCGGTCTCCAGGACTCTATTACTGCATTCTTCCCAGCGAGTAACTCCCCCGTTCTCCACCAGCACAAACTTCCACTGCACCACCGTATCTGCCGGCAGGCAAACAGAATGAGACCAGAAGCCGTCCTTGTTACGGTGGAGTGGGATGTACGTGTTCCAGCTCCCAAGACGCTCGTGGTCTCCGGTTACTGCAATGAACGCCACGTCGGTGCCCGTCACATAATGGACCTGGAACCTGACGCTAACTTGCCGGGACTCTGCAGACTTGGCCGCTGCCCATCCTGGTTTCCCATCCACTTCTCGACCCCTTGCTTCCACAAGAAAGTTTCTGGCACCGTCCATTCCCTGTTTTAGGCTACCACCCAAGCCAGCATCCCCCCAGGAGGAGTGCCTAGACACCCCCTGGCTGTCCGGTTGTGCGAGGCCCACTTCTTGGGCCCTGTCCACCCGCGGCCTGCTAGAAGGCAGTTCCTCTCCGGCCCTAGCCAGTGCCTCTCGTCCTTTTTGGAGTCCCCATTCTCCTCTGGGAGACTCCAGACTTTCACTTCTGGACGCTTCAGAGGAACTTCTGGAGTGAGCGCTTGCAGAACTGGCCGGGGCTCCCGCATCTGCCACGTGCCCAGAAGGGCTGTGCTCTCTGGCATCTCTGCTAGGGTTCTGCAGTGGCCGGGCTGCTTCCTGCAGCTTCCCAAGGTCTTTGGTCTCAGAAATCAAGCGTCCATTGCTTTCTTGAGGATGCTCTAAGAAACAAAAAGAATGTAGCAGTGTTAGCTCATGGAGAAGAGACTGTCACTACAGGCGTTACTCCTATCTGCAGTTCTCAGAATTCCTGCTTAATGAAATCTGGTACTTAATGTCCCTGTATAATCCCAACTCTAAGAATCCGCATGCATGCCCCACACTAAAATGCACCCGCAGGAGTGTCAGTGCACCAGCCCTAAAGTGTAAATGAAGTGGCAAGCTGTAAAGACAGAAGTGTAACCCTGCCGTGGTCCTCAGTCTCCCACAGTACAGGCCATGATGGCATTCAGCCAAGTCCCAGTGCTTGGCTCCGATCATCAAAACGTGTCACGTAGAGACAGGTGTTCAAAGACACCCACCTCTCAGGTCTGAGCACCTGACTCCAGCTTCCTGCTGATGCAGAGCCTGGGAGGCAATGGTGATGGCTCAAGTGCTTGGGTCCTTGCCCCTCAGAGGGGAGACCGGAACAGGGCTCCCAGCTCCCAGCTTTGCCCACCCCACCTGGACCTCGTGGGCATATAGGGAGTGAGCCATAGTACAGGAGCTGTCTCTGCCAGTTTCCCTTTTTCAAATAAGATTTTAGAAGCTTCTTTGAAAAAAAAAAAAAAAAGTCCAGCGGGGGGGGGGGGGGGCAAAACGCTGCACAACACCCGGACACATTAGAATGTACGTGTCCTCCCAGGGGTAGCACGGGTCTGCTGTCACAGACGGCAGGGGCAGGGGTGGGGGATACGGTGTATCCTGGGGACGGCATCAGGAACCCCAACACACCAGGGCCTTGTGTCCCCTCCACTGTACACGCTGTGGATGTTCTTAGGCCCCTTCAGACCCAGCTCTCCCCTAGACGGCCTCATTGGCAATCCAAAGAGCCCCCTGCAAGGTAGCAAATTCCAGAATCATACAGTCAGGGAGAGTAGTCTTGTTTTATTTCGTCCCTGTTCAATGGTGGGGCTAGAGGGGACACAAGAGCAAATGGTACTCAGAATTCCCAATTTTTCAACCTAAAACATGAGGCTGGCCTCTCTCCTCATCACAACCAGGGCCGAGAGGCGCACGGGCCGGTTTCCACCAGGCGACACGGGAACGCACTCCTCTGGAAGGAAGCTCGCAGGTGTCACTTCACCATGAGGCTGCAGTCCCGGCCGGGCAGCTCGCCAGGGACGGCTCTGGAAAGCCAGGCTTTCCGCCAGCGCTCCCTCCTTGCCCAGCCTGCGGTCTTCTGAAATGCGGCCGTGTCACCCTAAATGTCAATTGACTGCACGGAGTCCCCCCCTTGAGGAGTGGCTTCCCAGGGGGTGAAGCCCCCTGCGCTGCTGAGCGAGCAGGGAGCGCGCCCATGCTTCTGAATTGGGCGCCTGCACGGCCAAAGTCCACCCTGAACTTTGCTGGCCCCAGAGAAGCGTCCAGAGAACAGGAGGCGCTCACAGCACGGGTGTTCCCAAACCCAGCCCTCCCGGGGGAAGCGGGATCGGAGCAAGCGAGGCTGCGGGGCTGGGACTGAGAAAACGTCCCTGCTCGGACAGAGACTGGTGGGGCCCCCTAAGCTCCCACCGGCCTCTCTCGAGGCCAGGGAAGGGGCGCCGCGGCTGCAGCCGCCCGCACTGCGCCAAGCGGGCCAGCTGGAGGGGCAGGAGCGCCGAGGCCGGCGGGGCGCGGCCCTGGGAGCCTCGGCCGGGGCGTCTCCAAGGCCTCCTTGGAGCGCTGGAACCGGGCGGGGCGCGGGAAGGGTCCAGCTCGTGGGTGGGGTCGGGCCGCCAGGAAAGCGCCAGGTGGGCTTCTTAGATGCCCTGCCCCACCCAGGCCAAGTTCAAAGCCCCCGCAGAGTTGCTCTCCAGGTCCGGGCGGGACGAATACCTGGTTTGGTGCCCAGCTTGGAGGGGCTCCGTCCGCCGCCGCCTCCCTGCCCTTCTGCGCGAGTCGCAGCCTCCCCGGCAGGGGCGTCTTTCTGCTCCGCGTCCTCGGGGCCGCCCCGCAGCAGCCACACGAAAAGCGCCCCGGCCAGACCTCCTCCGACCAGCAGGGCGGACCAGACAGCGCCCATGGCTGCGGGAGACGACGGGCGGCGGCCGGCCCCGGGCGCAGGTCTCGAAGGCAGGGCCACACCTACCCTGGCCGCCCCGGCCTTTTACGGCTCCTCGCCGGCCCTCCGGCGCCCAGCCCAGCCCTCGGCGACTCGCGCTCAACTTTCCGCGCCCCGCCCACTGCCCGCCCCACTCCGCCGCCGCCGCGGGTTCCGGCCCGGCGGGGACGCGAGCGCGCCGCCCCGCGTGTGCACGACGACCACGCGCAGCCGAGCCCTGCCACGGGCCGGCCCCCGCAGGTGGGCGCCGCCTCCCCCGTGCGTGGGAGGCCGGGAACCCCCGGGGGACCCCGCTACCTGCGCTGGGCCTCCCCGGCCTCCGCCTCGCCCCGCTGCCCGACTGGACTGGACCGGCCGGGCCGTGGGCCGTTCGGGCTGCAAAAGCCAGTCCTCTCAGCCTCATTCAGGCCTGGCTTCCGCCACGGCCTCTGTGTGGCCTGCGGGAGCTGCCATGGCTGTGCCCACGGGGCTGAGCTGGCTGTAGACCAGGTTCAAGCGCGAACCAACGAGATGAATGAAAAGAGCCACCCTTTGTGAGGGTTCGTGCGCATTCACGTTGTTCCTCGCACAGCGACAACGTGTTGATAAAGACACTCCCGGGGACCACAGGGAGGAAATGGAGAATCACGTGGGCGGTAGCCCTCCAGGAGCCCCGAAGGAGGACGAGGAGGGAGACGCATGCAGCATCATCCTCCGATGCTGCATCTACCCGACGTCCTGCCCGCCACCGGCCTGCCCAGCGCACGCCTCTAACTTCACTAACAAGGAGTCCATCTTAGGCATTGCTGATTGGTTCTACGCATGCGCCTCCCTTCCCTATGGTGCATGAGCGCCATGTTAGGCCACTGCTGATTGGTTCCTGGCCGAACCAATCACATTCAGGCTTCGATGACTCCCTGATTGGGTCACCTAGAATACCGCATTAGCATACAGCTCAACTAATCAGGTGAACTTCCTCCTTCAGAACCTCGTTAAACAGGAACCAGGCCGGCCTGAGAGGGGACTGAGGGTACGGAGGCCTTCTGGGCGGTAGTTTGGGGGCAGGTTGCCCCTTCTCGCCGGGCGGGGCCTGGAGCCGGAGACCTTCCTTTGCTTTCTTCAGTAAACATCCCTTGCTGGGCCCACTGCTTGCTTGTCCTTGTAGCTCATTTTTCATGGTCACGAGACACACAGCAACGCTCCCTGAGGAGTCAGGCAGAGAGGGGGCACCGAGACCGTGCGGCCTTGCGGTTGGTAGAGGGTCTGGCCAGGGAAGACCCTGCCGCGTTTCCTGGCGACGAGCCGAAGCGCCAGGCAACTAAAGGGGCAGCCTGCGCCTGCCGCGCTGCGAGCTGAGAAGTGTCCACATTTCCATCCGAATTCACTCCTGGCGTCCAGAAGGCATCGCCCCGACCTGGAACCGCAGATCCCCGGGTTCTGCTCTGCAGCCCTGCCTGCCATTGCGCCTGACCTCCCACATCCCTCCGCCGGAGCCTCACCTGGCAAAGCCGCGCCCCCGGGGGGGTGGTCGCTTTAAGGCCCCCGCTGGTGGGGCAAGTCATCCTCCTGGACCCCTGGGAGGGGGTCAGAGACCCACACAGGCCTCTGCTCAGTGCCTGCCAGCGCCTCCGGAGCCCAGGTTCCTTGCTCGACGCCATGCTGTCTGCAGACCCTCCTCCTCCGGTCTCCGGTCTCCGCACGGAAGGCCTCTGCCCTGTGAGCCCCGCCCTGCAGCCCCCTACTCCCTGGACCCTACACCTGCTCCAGCTTTTTCCTTGGCACCTAGGGCATGACTTGAGGTGCACCGTGCAATCCGTGGGTTTGTTCTGCTTCGTTTCTCTCCCTCCCACCCCCTGGGAGTGTACATGACTTCAGCTCAGCACTGCGGTCCTTTATTCCTTGAATGAACATAGCTTGTTCATGCCCCACTCCTGGTACCAAAAAAAAAAAAAAAAAAAAAAAAATCACCCCAAAGTACAGACTGAGTGGAAGAATGAAAAGTGACTAGATCGTGAGGATGCGCATAACCAACAGGAGGAGAGCAGCTGGCGGACGGCGGACGTGGAGGTGGGAATGCCATCTGACTTGATCCCTTTATGCTACACCTGCGTTGAGTTATTGCACCGCGCCCATAAAGGTACGCAAGTAGTACACGTTAATCAGATTTTTTTAAATAAGCTAAATTATTTTAAAAGCCTCAAGTAGAAAAGTCTTGCATGGATTTCAGAAACACTTGCAGCTAAATAAAGTTGTCTTTTATTTCCATTTTCCCACCGACTTTTGGAACTGCCCTTGAGTTCTCATGCTGCAGCTTGCTGTCTCACTGACCCAGATTTTATGTTCATTTGTGAGAAAGAGCACCGGATAGGTGGAAAAGGTTCCCACCCACTGGTTCATTCCCCCAAATGCCTACAACAACCCAGGGACCAGAGCTGGGAGCCGGGAACTCAATCCAGGTCTCCCACGTGGGTGATGGGCAATTATTTGAACCGTCACCTGCTGCCTCCCAAGGTGTGCATTAGTAGGAAGCTGGAATCAGAGGCAGAGGCAGGACTCAAACCCAGGCACTCCAGTGTGGGGCGTAAAACATGCTAACCAGTGTGTTAACCACTAGACTAATGCCTGCCCGTCTCTGTGTGTTGTTTTAGCTCAACATAAATATTACCTGACACACAGATTTGTATCCTTAATTAAGAATTCAACAGCAGTATTTTTAAAGACCTCTAATACTTAACACCACTGACAAGCAATTCAGGTAGTCTTAAGGTTAGTTTTGATATGAGTATGAGAATGCTTAAAAATGGTGGTAAAAATGTCATTTTAAGAAAATTCATGTCACCATATAAAACAATATATTTTTAAAGATTTATTTACTTATTTAAAAGGCAGAGTTTCAGAGAGAGAAGAGGGGGAAGGAGGGAGGGAGAGAGAGAGAATGAGAATCTTCCATCTGCCTGTTCACTCCCCAAATGGCCACAATAGCCAGAGCCAGGCTGGTCTGAAGCCAGGAGCTTCTTTCGGGTCTCCCATGTGGGTGCAAGAGCCCAGGCATTTGGGCCATCTTCTGCCACGTTTCCAGGCACATTAGCAGGGAGCTGGGTTGGAAGTGGAGCAGCCGGGACTCAAACCAGTGTCCATATGAAAAGCTGGCGTCTCAGGTGGCGGCTTTACTCTCTATGCCACGATGCTGGCCCCCAAAAGCTTATTTATAGACTCTGTAATACTCACTGGCTCTTAAATTGTAGGCTTATAGATCTAACTTTTAATAGAATTTTATAGAAAAACTTAGAATTGTTCCATTTTGCCGCTGTAAAACTTAAGGTCCTAGGTGTCCTTGAATTGTACTAATTTTTCTTTAAAGATTTATTTATTTATTTGAAAGTCAGAGTTACACAGAGAGAGAAAGAGAGAGAGAGAGAGAGAGAGAGAGAGGTGTTCCATCCGATGGTTCACTCCCCAGATGGCCACAACAGCCACAGCTGTGCCGATCTGAAGCCAGGAGCCAGGAGCTTCTTCCCAGTCTCCCACGTGGGTGCAGGGGCCCAAGGAGTTGGGCCATCCTCTACTGCTTTCCCAGGCCATAGCAGAGAGCTGGACAGGAAGTGGAGCAGCCGGGCCGGGTCTCAAATCAGTGCCCATATGGGATGCCAGCACTTCAGGCCAGGGCGTTAACCCGCTGTGCCACAGTGCCGGCCCCAGAATTATACTAATTCTAAGATCGGTGGAGTAAATTTACAGGTAGAACAGAAATCCCTGAGCACGTTATTTGCATCTTCATACTTATCACTGCCTGACTGGCCTGGTCTTTTTCTTTCTATATGCTAATAGATGAAATCCCAGAGAATCTGTAAAATTCTAGAATGTAAGCCCTGCTATTCATTTCTGATACTTAGAAGGCTCTTCATAAAGGTCATGTGTTTTCACCAAGTGCTTTCTCATTTATTAAAATATTACCAGGGGCCGACGCAGTGGCACAGTGGGTTAACGCCTTGGCCTGAAGCTCTGGCACCCCATATGGGCAACAGTTTGAGTCCCGGCTGCTCCACTTCTGATGCAGCTCTCTGCAATTGCCTGGGAAAGCAGTGGAAGATAGCCCAAGTCCTTGGGCCCCTGCACCCATGTGGGAGACCTGGAAGAAGCTCCTGGCTCCTGATGGGTGCAGCTCTGGCCATTGTGGCCAATTGGGGAGTGAACCATCGAATGGAAGACCTCTCTCTCTCTCTCTCTTTCTCTCTCTGCTTCTCCTGTCTCTGTGTAACTCTTTCAAATAAATAAATAAATCTAAAAAATATATTACTAAAAGTCACTTCACTGGTCCCTTTTTTATTGTCATAATGAGCTAGCGGAGCCTGGGTAGTTTTATAAGGTACAGGTTTAGTTTATAAAGAGAAATTTGAGCTCATGATTCTGGAGCTGCACAATGGAGGGGCTGCATCTGCTCCCTGCCTCACCAGGTGATGGTTCTGCCCCACAAACCACCATTGCTCACCTTCCCCAGATGCCAGAATAACAGGGCTGCCCAAGCCCCAACTGTGTACCCCAAACTGTTGAGCTGCGCCTATCTGAATCCAAGAGCCGGGAGCTTCTTCTGGTCTCCCACGTGGGTGCAGGGGCCCAAGCACTTGGGCCATCTTCTACTGCTTTCCCAGGCCATAGCAGAGAGCTGGACAGGAAGTGGAGCAGCCGGGACTCAAACCAGCACCCATATGGGATGCTGGCACCTGCTGGCACCACAAGCCATGGCTTTTATCCTCTGTACTATGGAGCCAGCCCCTTTCAGCTTTCAGCTAGGGTCCGTTTCCACCCTCTTCACACCTCACAGTGGGGATTCTCCCAACACACGGCCCCTGTGGGACAGCCAAGCCATATGACAGCAGATGGGAAACCCATACTCAACTTAGAGCAACTGGTGAAAGGTGCAGAGAGGCCACTGGGCCTGCATCCCACAGGCAGAGAGCCGCCATGTTGCCTGCATGTCTGGAGGGTTACATTGGCAGTGGTTGCAGGTGGAGGTGTCCAGGTGAGCCAGGTAGTAACTCCAGCCATCTGGACACAGGTAGGTGAGGTCTGAATAGGGCTGTGAGCTCCAGGACTGGCTGGGAAG